TGGTGGCGTGCTTAAGATGATGACGAGTAAAATGACAATCAATCTCAATGTGCTTAGTACGTTAATGAAAAACTAAGTTGTAAGCAATCTAAATAAAACTCTAGTTATCACAATACATAGGAGTGGGATGAGAAATAATGTATTGTTTCTTGCTTTTTTAAGAAATAAAAGAATCACCCAAAAAAATACAGAAACTTGTAACATACTTTCAATCCGTGAGATTACTGTTATGATTAGTATTAAAGTATGCATACAACTCCAAAAAAAAGATAGATGAAAGTAAAAGACTTTATAAAACTGTACCTTAAAGATATCACAAAATATAAAGAATAGGTGCTTAATAAACAATAATAAAATAAACAAATTGACTAATAACATAAATAACATATGCGATATCTGGATGAATAATAATAAGAATACAAAGGTAACGGGGCAAGAACATGAGAAGGGAAATTTAAAGTACTAGGAATCTAAGATAATAAACTATCATAAATCTCATAAAAAAAGATCTATACGAATAAGATAAGATCTAGTCACGTAATGAGTAATGGATGAAATAGGAAAGAAAGGTATATGCTTAAAAAAAATAAAATGATAAGACACATAAAGTTTCTATGTTATTGGATCAAAACAATGATACTTTTTTTTACCTTCATTGTAATTAAGAAAGACATAAATAGCAGATCAAGAAGTCAACTTTTTGCGTTCTATAAGAGGATGAAAAAAAAACAAGTACAACAAAAAACTCTAAAGAAAGAATAATTAAAGGCATACTTATACAACTTTTCAAAACAACAAAAACCTAAAATATAAGAAGATGAAATTTTATTAATTAAACCTATAGTAGTAAAAATAGTTTCATCCTAAAACACACTAAGAACAAAATAGACAACATGAGAGAATTAGTGGTTTCAATAATTTGTCTATGTTCTCTTTCAACAACGTCATTTTGCTTAGAAGTATATGCACATAAAGTTCGGTGAATAGTTTTATCTAGGACAAGTAACTTATAAAATTTATTAAAGATGTATTTTCCACCTCAATCATATTTAAAACATTTGATAACAATATAATATTGAGTTCTAACAAGAGCGTGAAAGATTATATATATATGAAAGAATTTAGAACAATGTTTCATTAAATAAATCCAATAATAACTAGTATAATCATCAATAATAAAATAATAATATCAAGACCCTCCTTTATGGCAATAGGAGAAGTCTCTATGCATCCGAATGAATTAAATTAAATGGAGAAAAAAAATAGAAATACTTTCATTAAAAGCTAAAGTAGAGAATTTTGCTAGTTTACATCTATTATAACCTAGAATATTACAAGTTTTTAAATTTTCTAACGCTTTTGTGGATGCCAAAAATCTTAAATGAGAAGATGAAATATGACCTAGATGAGAATGCCATAAATAAAAACTAAAAGAAAAAGAATTCAAAAAAAAAAAAGACAAATCAACACTAGTATCAACAACAACTAACACTTTTATTTCATCCAAAATATATTGCCCTCTTTTTCTAAACCATGTCCTAATCAATTTCTAAAATTACAGATCCTGCACATAATAAAAAAAAAAAAAAGATGACTAAATAATTATCAAAATCATATAACTAACTAACAGATGCAAGATTCAATATGATTTTAGAGATAAGATAAACATTAGGAAAAGACAAGTGAGGTGTGACAACAGAATCAATATCTGTTAAAAGCATAGGATTGTCATCAATAATCATGATAGTAATAAAATAGGAAGGAGTCATATAAGCAAAAGATAAAAAAAATCTAAAGACATATGGTGTGAAGCACAAGAATTCAAGATCCATTCAGAATGTGACATGCCTAAAAAACTAAGAGGTATTTAACCTATAGAAGAAGAAGAAGAAGAAGAAGAAGCAAACATAGTTTATGGCTATAAAGAGAAAAACTTCTGAAATTGCTCAGTCATAGTACTATGATCGGTGAAAGAACCTAATAAAACTACTACTGTAGTATTAAACTATGGTGATTTGTAACCCTGAGGTGGTATATAAACTTTAGATTGTGACAGGTTGTCAGGCTTCCAAGCTTGAGATTGCTGCTGCGATTGATTATTATATCTCAACTTAGGACACTAAGTGTTCCAATGACCTTTCTGCTGTCGTCGAAGACGACCCTTGTGAAAAAATTATTTTAATTATTAAAGAGTAGCTTAGAAAGTACTAGAAGCTCATCAAGATTATAAATAGAAATAATTTGCTTTTTAAAATAAGACTAAAGATATATTTCTTCTGTCAATAACTCATTGACAACTAAGTCAACAAAAGAAAATGAAGAATGATGCAAAATTGAACCTGTAAGTCTTTCAAAATTATTGTAAAATGCTATTAAAAACTGTATCAATTATTGTTGCTCTCTATAAGCAATATATACACCACATGCCTTTAGTTTTACCAATTATATAAGAGCTAATTGATTTGAAAGATCTGTCATAGTAAAAAAAAAAAAACTCTTGAATATTTTTATTCTTCTAGTGAAAAGCTCATATATCATTCTCCAATTAATATTGTTTTACAAAATTTGATTAAGTGAATAATCTTTGCAGATGATCCTAGACCTTCTTTGTTGTCTCATACTACACCAATTGTATACCTATGAAATGCTCAATAAAATCGTTAATCCAAGTAATAATTTTTTGCATTATTTGCTTTTCAAACATCTATCAAAGCAATATAACCCTTACTAGTATTTTTAGGTTTCATAAAAGTTCCACTTATAACATATCCCTACATACTGAAGTCCATCATCTCTTTTAGTAGTTATAATTAACAAAAAAAAAATGTAAAATAAATAAAAAAAATACTAGATTGTAGAAACTGAATGGATACCCTCTTAAAATTGCATGTTTTCTTTGATAAAATACCTTATTTGCCTTTTTAAATTATACAGTCACTCCAAACAAAAAGAAACAGAGAATGATGCAAAATTAAACCTCTAAGTTGGATCCATAAAAGTTGTGTTTAAGATTAAGCCTCATCCTATGAAATCTAGCTCTAATATCATGTTACACAATCCAAATAAATAAAAAGAAATACGAAAAACAAAAATAAAAAAGGAGGATGTTAGGGTTTCATTAATACTACATAATATAATCAAATACTCAAAACAAATAAGTTTAATTTAAATACAAAGAGAATATATATAGGTTAAACAAACAAAACTAAAATTAAAATAAAAAGACTATTCTACCATTAATAAACAATATTTCTTAACAGACTCGATAATTATAAAAAGATAAAAAAAAAAGGAGAACAAGCCTTTAAATCTTATTTAAAATATATTTGTTTCAAAAGACAACAAAGTAAATTTATTATGTATTTTTAAAGAAAATGATGAATTTGCCCTTATATCAAAGTTAGAGTTTTTTGTATTTAAAAGGCGTCTTAATCATTACAGTATATATAAAAAAAGATATACCAGACTTAATCAAAATGATAATCATCTATTAGTCTCTATGCAATTACAATTATATCCCCATAAGCCATGTAAATGAGTTTTTTGAGAATTAAAATATAATTATTATATTTTTATTTTTACTACTTGATTTTTTATTTTTTTTAATATCCATATTAACTGAAAAATTACTAAAAGATTCCACCACGGCGTGTGTAGACTCAAGATCAATTATGATAATTGCAATAACTTTAATTTCTTCATCAATCAACCACAAATTTCCCTTAGTCTGATGTTGTTCTAGGCAAAATAATAATATTTCAGCAATGTGCCATTGTTATTACATCTAGAAGAAGACTAGCAATTCATCATATACTAGAACTCAAAAAACTAAAGAAAAAAAAGAAAGAAAAAGTAATAGACTATGACTTATTGGGCCACATGAAGATGATATGGTGAACAGAGTACAAGAAAATAGTTAAATGGTTATGGAGTCAACACGTTATGATCTCGGTTGGACGTCAAAGAAAAAAACAAGTAAATTAGTGGAACGAGGCATGTCAACCACTGATTATTTTAGGGTAGATTTATTACGATTTGTGCGATTTCGATTTGTTTATGACACCAAGTAATCATACAATGCCATACGCACACACTTCATTAATTTCATTGGCTGTGATCATGTGATGAGAAGCGTGATCAATCGGTGGATTTCAACGCATCCACCGCCGGGAAAGAAGATCCCTAACATGTTCACCGGCGATCTAGCTAGCCTTCATGGACAAGCAATTAGATAGCTAGCGTTACCACGTGTGGCCAGTGGTACTCCTAGCTAGCTAGTAGATGGACCCTGCTTTTTGCATGGTTTTACGTCCTCCGTCGGAAAAAAATAATTCTGAAATGCAAACTTTTACCAGCTACACACCTGCATTGGCATAAATAGTTACAAATTCCAATGTCCATATTTTACCATAAATAAATCTTAGAGGGACGAGCTCTTAGGTGAATAGATCATAGATGCATCAAGGTTTAAATTAGCCTAAGAATCCAAGGGCTTATTGACCATAACCTGAAGAATATTATATTCGGAGTTGATTCAAATTTCGAAGTTAAAATGTAGAGGCCAGGCTTTTAAGATGTGAATTAGTCTAAGTATATTTATTTGGAATTGTTGTGTAGTTAATTTAGAAAAACATTATATGGAAATGTATTAAAATAATTTTTTTAATTTTTTAATTTTAATTTTATTTTTAATATTAGTATATCAAAACTAACTAAAAATAGAAAAAATAAATTAATTTAGACAAAAAAGAATTTCAAAAATTTTTAAAAACACAATTTGATTCATAAACAAACAGTACATTGAACTAACCTGAGAATCTAGAGTTCCATTATGAAATGACTAATCATTCTACTCAATTAATAGTTTATGAACTTGTTGCCCTGACAAAGCTTTGAGGCAGCACTTTCCTTTCAATATATTATGGAATATTTTTATCACAAGCCAACAGTTTAAAATACCCTCCCTCCACCTCCATTACTGACACTCTTGCAGACACACTCCCACACCTTTTGAGAGAATGGCCAGTTCTTTACTCAAGCTTGCAGCCATTCTCTCCCTAGTCTTTTCCATCCTTCTAGCCTTGAACACTCAGATAACCTTATCATCCGATATAGAAGACGATGATGACGAGTATGTTCTTGACACCCCACCAGAAGATTTCAGGTCAAGAAGCCGGTTCTTGGCAAGTGTGATAAAGAAAGGTACACGATGCAACGCTGAGCGTAATAACATTTGTAATGGCGTTTCAGCTAACAAGGGCACGGGCCTCCTTTATTGTTGCAAGAAACATTGCCGGAATGTTCGTGGAGACAGGAACAACTGTGGAATATGTGGTAACAAGTGCAAATTTGGAGAGTCTTGCTGCAATGGAAGATGTACAAATATCATTTTCAACGTTAATCATTGTGGAAAGTGCAACAAGAAGTGTGCTCCGGGGGTTAGATGCCAGTATGGAACATGTGGGTATGCTTAAATGTATTTAATGGTACAAGCACAAGTGATTTCAGCAGTATTTTCTTTTGCTTTATTTTCACAAAGGGAATTAGTGGGTGCATGTTTTGTACTTAAATCGTTTGAATTTCTCCAGTTGAGTATACAAAATCATCAGTTTGTGCCACCAATAAAGAAAGCCTGTATGGAGGTGATTCTCTGGTCTTCGAGATCGTGTTTATCCATGCCTATGTAGTTACCATAGTTCAAAGTTCAAACCAGAGGGAACATTGATGTTTGATAATTGATAATTTCATTTGCCATTATTTTCCTGGTTTTTGCTTGTTATTTCACTTTCCCCCTCCTATCTTTCGAATGAACTGTTCCATTGTCAGCCCCGCCTCCCCATTTGGCAGACTACCAATATTCACTTTTGCCCAAGGTTTTTAGGTTTTGAGTTTTCATGTTTGAGTTTGCAAGTAGCATGTATGGGAAAGGGAAAGGACAGGGAAAACCATGCATGTGTGGTATTTTGCCGTCAATGAATCCTGGAACAGCACTAGAGTTAATGTATTATTCATCCAGGAGTTAGAACATGTAAATGATTATCGTGTAAAATTCCAGTATATCAATAAATATCAAGCTGAGCACTCATAATCCATCTTAGAAACATCTTGGACAGAGAGTCTCCAATTTTAATAATAGATCTTGCATGCTATTCCTGAAACATTCTGCTTGTTATTGTAACAGATCACCACCGCCAAACCTATTCTGGCAAGAAATGTTTCCATTGAATGCATCTTCTAAAGCTAGCAAACTCCCCATGAACATGAACAGATATATTTTATTTTTGGTATGCTCCTGTTATGGATTTCGCTCCAAGACTTATCAAACATGATTAATTGTTTCAAAGCCAGGAGCAACTGGAGCTCGAAGATATTGATTGATATGAGGACTAACTTAAAAATATAAACGAAATCGATCATGCATCTGTCAGTACTACACGCACATATACATCTAGAAATATAGCTTTCATTCACGGCTTTCGCACTTAATTTCAACTGGTAAATAATTTGTAAAAAGGATAAACAGAATCTAAAACTTGGAGACACTGAAGACAGACTTGAAATTAGAAAATTACCATCCAAGGAGCGCATATATCATGGCATGATACTGTTAGAACTCATCAACAAAAAAAAAAGAAAAGAAAAAGGTGAACATCTCACTTCTTGGAATAGGGGAAAATGCACATATCTTTACCTGACACTTGTAGACCTTGAACATTCTTCGATATTCAAAACATCCTCGATAGAATTAAAGAAGGCCTTCATCAAAATGTGGTTGACGGTAATCATTGTAGCTCTTTTGTTTCATCAGTAGATCTCTAACTCTTTGGTTTCAAGAGTCCTGGCTCCTGGAAATTTCATAATAGGAATTTTCAATATTTCCTATTGCATAAAAATTCATTATCATTACGACAAATTAAACAAAGCAAGCCATTATAAAAAACCTACCACCCCAGCTGACATGTTTGGATTGCTAAATTTGGTCTCTAGACGACTCGCTATGGCATTATTATTTCTGCCAAGGCCGGCGAGGAGCACGGTTTGAACTCATAACATACCGGCTGTTGGGCGAAATCACATGAACTCCAGAGAAAAGCTACCTGCTGCGGGGGTATCCTTGAGACGTACGTGAAGATGAGAAAACTAAGGACTCGAGAGAAAATCATGCCAGAATTTGCTAAGGAACTCGCACTGAATGATTTTGTTGAGTGGGATTTGGAGTGTCGATTGTATATCAGCAAGGATGTGAATTGGCAGATTGTATATAAGTTTACTTTTCAAGTTTTTGTTCCAAATAAGTTTATATCCTATTATACTTCCTTGTAAAATCCTACCAATACAATTGAAAATTTGTTATTTTTTTTCCTTTAAAAAAGCTCCACAACAAATTTTATTATACGACTTTTTTCACTTAAATTTTTTTCACCTAATAATTTTTTTGGAATTTTTTAAATAAATCTAGATGTAATTATTAGAAAAAATTTAGAGCACTAATGATCAATAATCTTTTTATTTTTAGAAACAATATTTACAAATATGAAGAATTATATTCTCTACTTTTACAATCATAAGTTCATTTGATTATAATCAACATTTACAACAATGGTAATACAAGAAAAAATAGATTATAGACCATTTTACAAGCGTGAAAGTTGAACATTCAAAAAAAGTATTATTATGTAATTTAAAAAAAAATTAATGAAGTGATAATTTTTTAAAATAAATGAGAATAGTAATATAGGTAGCACAATAAGATGTATTGTTGAAAGATAAACTATACAAGTATTCTTAATTAGAGATATCTTTGTAATAGTAATTTGTCTTTTCAAATTGAACTTCTATGTAATTTTCTAAAATAAATTTTTTTTTCTGAATGCACTAGATTTATGTGAGGTATATTTTTAAATACTATTTAGAAAGAAGACTTGTTCATAATCGACATCTCTTCATAGTTCATAGCATGTGAGGTATACTCTTTCAAATTGCATAAACTAGCGAAAGTCTTTCACTTTTTTTTTTTTTAAATTAACGTTAGTGTTTGGGTCAATTTACGCGCACCACAACTAATCTCACGAGCCCTGAAATTAACGATCATGTAAGTCTCCAGTAGTCATCATATAAACAACCAAGAACTCGAAACTGAAACCACAAAAAGAGCAAACTTTTAATTTCAAGTGCTTATCATTTGGCCATCAATAAGTCTTCCACTCTTGTTTTTACAAGTCGGGGGAAATTTCATGATGCCACTGCCACTTCAGAACTTGAAGTTGCGCAACTTCAGAGGGCTGCAGATCTAACCAGTGCCTCTAGAGAACAGCAGCAAACAGAAAACCCATCCATCAGCGATCGTTTATGTAGTGAAAAAAAAATGAGCAGAAGAGTGCAAATGATTTAATTTTCTAAAATAATTTTTTTTTTTTGAATGCACTAGATTTATGTGAGGTATATTTTTAAATACTATTTAGAAAGAAACTTGTTCATAATCGACATCTCTTCATAGTTCATAGCATGTGAGGTGTACTCTTTCAAATTGCATGAACCAGCGAAAGTCTTCCACTTTTTTTTTTTTTAGATTAACGTTAGTGTTTGGGTCAATTTACACGCACCACGACTAATTTCACAAGCCCTGAAATTAACAATCATGTAAACCTCCAATAGCCATCATATAAACAACCAAGAAGTCGAAGCTGAAACCATAGAAATAACAAACTTTTTAATTTCAAGTGATTATCATTTGGCCATCAAGAAGTCTTCCCCTCTTGTTTCTGCAAGTCGGGGGAAATTTCATGATGCCACTGCCACTTCAGAACTTGAAGTTGCGCAACTTCAGAGGGCTGCAGATCTAACCGGTGCCTCTAGAGAACAGCAGCAAACAGAAAACCCATCCATCAGCGATCGTTTATGTAGTGAAAAAAAAATGAGCAGAAGAGTGCAAATGAAATTTACGTGTTCCAGCAACTTAAAAAACAACTTGCTTCTTGCATTACTGACCGAGTTTTCTGTTCGAATAAGAAAGTTGATGCCTTCTCAGTATAGAGCAAATCAGTCGATCCAACTATTAGTTGCTCCTTCTGTGGACGAAATTTGTACAATGATCTGTATATCAAGTCTGTTTTGAACAAATATTTGTTCGGAAATCTGATACTGACACAATTATTTTTCGATAACAACTCCCTTTTTTGCTTGTGAGGAAACGTTGAATGCCAATCACATAAGTTAAATTGACAAAGTGATTGTGAAGCAAGCCTTTGGCAAGGTGACACTCACATTCACTCCCGGAGAATGAGTCTTCTGACTAGAAAACTCAAACGCCCATTAACCCAGTAACCTCCCTTTAGCGTGCTCAACTGCTTTATCAAAAATCCACAACCTCCCTTTACTGTGCTTATCAAAAATCCACTGAACGCTTAAAATCCTTAATAAATATATAAAGACACACACACACACCTGGCCTAGAACCTTGCAAATGCTTCCAACTCAATGTTGGAGCTGTGAACTCAAATCTGAGATGTACATATCTCGACTCACCAAGCAAGTAGCTTTCAGCGTCCTGATTGATGATCTCTTCCCAGTCTTCTCACCTGAAATTTCAGTTTTAAGGTCCACAGGCTAGTCTAGCCTTTCAATTACCTTCCATGAATAATTCTATCCATGAAAGTAAAAGAGCTTAACAAAAACTATATGCTGAATATGATCCTCCCCTCCCCAAGCAAGCGCTTGCAACATATATGAAATTTAATTGAAGCCAAAATTTGAAATAATAACAGCATAAAACAAAACAAATGTATTTAGCTCCCTGTCTAAACCTTTAAATTGACTGAGCTACCGACAACATTATGAGTTTGGAATCCATCCATCGACAGGATGAAAGAACATAAAAGGATTAATTCTGCTACAACAGACCTTGCCACTCACATGCTTATCAAGCAGAAAACTGTCCATAACTCTTCTACTTAACCCTAGTTTTAACTCTTCAGAGAAGATAGTAGTAGTACCCGAGCGCTAGAAACAAAAGAACTACTAAAGCAGCCGGAGCAGCCCATATCCAATAGTTTGTTGACTTTTTCCTCCTCGGGATGACTTTGGGAAGTGAACCCGGGCCTCTTGGACGATTCCTAGGCCTAACAGTATTCTCTTTCCTAACTTTTTCCTTCACTGGAACAGGAACCTCATCGTTCACTTCAACCATTTCAGGTTCTGCCTCTGCAACTGCTTCAACAGGTTCCTCAGGCTCAGTAGCTGCAGCCTTCTTCTTTAATTTCTTTTCTCGTTCCTGAAGCGCATCAAAGAGTATTATGAGTTTCTAAATACAAATAATCAACCACGCAAAGGCAGAAATTAAAAAATAAATAAACCAAAACCTTGAGCTTTTTCTCAGCATCCTTTTGAGCTCTTGCAGCTGCTTTTGCAGCAGCTTTCTCAGCCAGCTTCTTCTTCCTTTCCATGGCTTGCTTAGCTTTTGCTATTTCCTCTTCTCTTTTCATCTCCTTCAATTTCACTTCATCAACTTCCTTTTCTGCAGAAGGATTCTTCTGCAGATTTTCCAACCCAGAGACCTCCTTGTCAATGATGTCAGAGTGCTCTGAAGTCGTCTTCAATTCTGTCTTCGTAGTTTCCTTCTGGACCTTTAGGGGGGACAGAGCATCTTTTTGAGAAACGGGTTTTGGATCTTCTTTCGGTCTCTTTGCAATAGCTTTTACCACTGGCTCTGGTTCAGAAAGTTTCAGTGTCTCCAATATCACCAATGGCTTCTCATCAGGGTTCCTAATTCGTCCATCCTTGCTCATTTGTCGGCGGTCAAGGGAGGGCAAAATTCTTTTCTCGTAATCATCCCTAAAGGCTTTGTTATGGCTCCAGAGGGACATAAAATTCTCAACCTAATTATGGATATTAAAGAAAAATATTAGAATGTAGCAGCAATAATTAAAATATTGCTGTTCCTATCACCAGATAGTATTTGTCTAACAAACCTCAGCATGTGCAAGTTCTTCAAGAGCTGGTACATCCTTCCTAGCAGCAAGTTCTTTGGCTTTGGTCAAGAGCATACGGCATTGGTAAAAGTTGGCATTCTGAAAGATTATTAAAGTTATGTCCAAGAAAACAACTCACAAGCTTAATCGAAAATGTAATAGAAAAGGCTAGCAAAATGATTGAATAACTATTCTACAGCCAATAATCAAAAAAGAAGCCAAATTCAACAATGTCAAAAGGAAAGGAGCGGGGAAGGACGGAGTATCCAATACAGCTAATTAGTTTAAGCTTTTCTAAAAGTACTCACTCAAAAGCAAAGATTCAAGAGAGGTTCGTAAGAAATACAGTCCTCCACGAGGCACTGCAAGGTATGCACATGAAATTCAAAAACAGCCTCACAGTGCAAAAGTAAAACCATCAAGTCTACCGCATCAATTTGGTTATGATTTGATTGTCAATACAGGCACCCATGCAACCAATAATCTCACTAAATTATGGTGTCAAAAAATGCTTTTCAAGGTAGACTCCAGCTACACCTCTGAAACACCATCCTTTTGGACCTCAACATTTTCACAGCATATCAGAGCATGCTTGCTTTGTAGTTTGCTTTTTCAGACAACAGATTTCTGGCAAAACTAACCTTGAAGTAGTAGATGGAAGTAGAATCTGTTGAGGGTAAAAATTAAGGACTAAAAGTGGGACAAAGCTTTTGATTAGCGCATGCCTACACACTAACACAGACAGCTCTTTTTTTGAAAAAACAATTATTGGATTTAATAAACATACTGCCTCATCACGCTGTTTCCGAAGTTCCTGGATAGTTTCATATGCTTTGTCCCTCTTCTGGGTCACAGCTGTCAACTCATCCTGTAAAGTCTTAATTTCAGCATCCAGTGCCTTCACTTTCCCATCCAGGCCGTCAACTTTTCCCCAAAGTACTTGTTGTTCCTTCCTTACACCATCCAAGTCAACACCTATAAGCTACAATAATCGAAATAAAGTAAATTACTGTTACATAAATGAAAATAACAACCATACAGGCACAGAAAGTAAAGTTGGTGAAACTACAAACTTCCAACGCATGATATTTAAGAAACAGTTCTCTTACTTTGACCTGGTCTTGAATGGCTTCTTTTTGACCCATTGAATCCTGAATCTTTGCTCTCATAGCAGCATTAGCAATTACTTTTTCCCTTGTCCCCTCAAACTGTTTGATTTCTCTAAGTATTTGCTTCTCCTCTGTCAATGGGATGCTCTCATGTTGTATGCGGTATTGCAAACTGTAGATCTGAAATCACCACACCAATACAAAAACTTCAAAAATGCAATATTACACTTGCTAATGCACCAAAACAAACTGGCAAGTCCCAATGTGCATGCAAAGCTAGCAGCTAAGAACATACAAGATCATTAAGCTCTTCCTCGGATGAACACAAACCAACTCGACCAGCACTATTTGTGTCACGCAGCTTGCCCAGTGCCTGCTGCAGAGGCTCTATTTTCTTTTTTTTCTCATCAAACATCGATTTATACTGTCGACCCTCATTCTTCAGGGTCCTTACCTGGTTCACCAACTCTGCCCGTTTTGCCTGCAGAAGAACAAGTAAAAACTAATTAGAGTTTCATTGGAGGTGAAAAACAAGTAGAATTTCATTGGAACTAGATTGGTGCAATCTTTTTCAAAAAATGTGAACTCCAAGATGTGCTAAGCATATGGTAGCATATAATGGAACAGCATGCTATGTAAATAACGGACTCTTTGGAATCTACATTTTAAGAGCAAATAATTCTAAAGTTTTGTTCTTTCTTTAACTCAATAGAAGATAGTCATTTCTGGAACTTGAGCTAGGACACCTCCATGGTTCAGTTTTCATCACAATGGTTGCTAGCTAATTGTATCATATGATAAATTTCTTCATAACCAGAAATCTTAGTTTCAAAGAGTGCAATGAGAATGTGTTAATGGAGTTTGTGTGCAACTAGAATGAAAACAAAGGAAGAGAATAAAAGTGAGAGTAATTGCTTCCAGTAAGGTCAATAGCTACAGCATAACAACCAAGCTCATAGTTAAAATATCAGGAAAAAAAAAGAGAACATATTATAAATCTGAAAGCAGAAATATAAATATTAACTATAGGGACCCTCAAAATTTAGTGATTTCAAAACTAAAAATCTTTGTACGGAGTTATCAAACACCATTCCAGAACTATTTTGTAATTACTAGTGAAAAACTTAGGGGTTTTAAATACTATGCCATTGAATTGGCATAGCAGGTGTAAAAGGAAGACTTTCTGTCATTAACATTATTGCAATGGTATTTTCACAGACATCAATACATAATTGTAATATTTGCAATGTACCAAAAAATGTTGCCATGAACATTTATCAGACATGTGCCTGATTCCATCCATTGACATACATGGTTTAAAAATGAAACAATAATAAGGCCAATCAGTAGTATTATGATTCTCATTTCTAAACTTCATCATTCAAAGGTGAATAATACTAAAAACTACAACAACTTATGATAGAAATGAGTTTTCCTCTCTTTAGAAAAGAAACATATAAATGTTCTGTTAAGTTGATGAAAATGAACAAAACGAGCTGATTACCTGGATTATTTCTGCGTGCTGCTATGGAATTATTCAGACCAATCATGATAATTCACAAACATTCTTAAAACCCATAACTTTCTAGTAATTTATAGTTTTCCAGAACAGCTGAGACATGGCAAATAGCATATCTAGTAAAAACAATAAGCTTCCAACATACCCTTTTAGCTTTTAATTCTTCTGTAATCTCAAACCGGGACAGATTCCTCTTCTGAATCTCCTTATCAGCCTGATCAATTTTGGATTTTATTTTCGGATCATCGTATTGCCGGTATATTACAAAGTAAAAGGAATGGATCTTCTTAGGAGCAGGCCACTCGTCAATGGCATCCTTCGGCAAGTTGGCATCTGTAACATCATTTCCTTCTGCTCTAACTGGCTCCTCCCCATGTGAACCAAATTGTATGGGCTCGGTAGGCCCTGATACCTCATCCAGTTTCACGTTTTCCTTTTCATGCAGAATTGTTTCATCTACTTCACTTACACTGTCAATAGGGGCCTGAACCTTCTCAGGTGCCACAACCTCAACACCCATTGCTCTTAACAAAGATCAACCTTATAAATGAACAATCCTGATGTACAAACAAGCACATGTTGAGAATATGAATCAAGAAAACCCATTTTACAACAAGATCAAGGCGTCTAGCTAGTCCAAATCCATTTGTTTTACTAAAAAAACAAGATCAAAATTAAGTAAATATATGAACCATATCGAACTTATCATTCAAGTAAAAACCAAAGCAAACCCAGATAAAATCTCCACTCATATACAACGCAAAATCCATAACACAACAGTAACAACAATCAAAGAACACTTGGATTAAATAAAGATATCAAAATCACACATCTACAAGTAAATTCGATAGATAAAGCCATCATAATATACAACACATCAAATCATTAAAAAACAAAACAGGTCCTTCACAAAGATCAAATCTTTTTCAACTTTAACACACCATTCCAATCATGCAATAAAGAAAAGAAATCCCAACAGAAGCAAGAAATGAGATCAATTCATATCAATCAAGAAAAAATAAAAGGAGAAGAACCTTGGGATATGATAATAGAAAACATGAATGGGGATTGTTACCAGAAGTAGAAAGAAATGGAAGCAGGAAAAGAAGACCCTATTGACAAGCAAAGGACCCTCAAGTTTCGAGTTTTAACCAAAACGAACAGGGTGGGTCGTGACTTAGATCTCGAAGTCTCTTCTCCTTCTCCTCTTCTCCTTGCCTCTGAGACAAAGCACGATTCACTTCTCTTTCTTAAGCAAGAGAGAGGCAGAGTAAACAGGGACCCTGGCACCCTGCTATATAGACACGAATTACATAGAGAGGTGAAGAAGATATCTCGGTTATCTTTAATTTCTACTTTCTACAATTTTATTTTTTTTAAGTTCTATTACTGATTCTTCATGAATTTTTGAAAAAAAAAACATTAAATTATTTTAATATGTGAATATCAAAAATAAATAAATCAAATATTATTTTAATATATTTTAAAATAAATAATTCTTAAAAAAACAATTTCAACACTTTCAAATAGTTTGTAAAAACTACAAAAACTAAAAAAGAAACCACCCTTTCTTTTTTTCCTTGTAAATTGCCATAATTTATTTTTTTGAGATATATATATATATAAGGAAAGATTTCATTCGTGCTCTGCCTTTTTTTCACTCCTCACTTTATGAGAAAGATTTGAAAGCCTTCAAGGATTGAAGAGGACCTGAGGATCTTCGCACCCATGTTTTTGCTCTGAATAAATAGAACTACAAAGTTATATATGTTTTAATATTTACTAATTATAGTTTTTATCTTCTTTTTTTCATCTTATTCAGGTTTATTTTTGTTTACAGCTAACCTCCGGTTAAATATAAAAACCAACATTTTAAAAGGATTTTCTTACTTATCAAGGAATTTCAAGAAATACAACTCATTTTAAAACAAATTTTTAAGAATTTATATTTGCTATTATTAAATAAACAGATTAGTTGTACGGTCCAACTAAGTTTCACCTTAAACTTAGTTAAATCATAACTCAACGAGTTATTCTATTATTTTTATCTTTTTCTTTCTTTCTTTTCTCCTAACAAATTTAATTAAGTTTAATGAAATTTGATTAAGTTGAGGCTCACTAGAGCTAAAATTTTAATATAACCAAATTACTTTTTGCCTATCTAGGTTTTTTATTTTATTATTTATGAATAATAATATACATGACAGTATTTATGAATATCAATACCTGTAGTATTATTCATGAATAGTACATTTTACTTGTATTTTTTTAATATTGTTTTTAGATTTTTTTATGTTTTTTTTAAGCTATATATTATAAAGTTTTGAGAGAGAAAGAGGATTTATCTAAATCACACTATATTACACTTAACATTACTTCATTATAAAAATAACACACTTGACAAGACAGAGAATATACATTTTTTTTCTCTATAAATAAAAATTATTATTTTTATTTTCTTGAGTTTTTACCAAAAAAAAAAACCTTAAAAACTAACTTAAACATCAAAGTATGTATGTTCCATGAAAAAACTTATTTTACAAGTACATCTTAAACCTAGAACTCATCTACTAGGAAAATTCAATATTTTTCTTTGAAGTTTTTTTATGCCTTCATCAGCAGCGTTGTTTTTAAGACCTAAACAAAAAATTTGTTTATTCTCTTTTAATTTCTACAAAAACTTTTTTTATGACTAACATTTAATTTCTACAAAAACTTTTTTTATGACTAACAAGACTCCAATGCATGAAAAAGTGATTTATCTTTTTATTATATGAACTCTAAGCTCTTCTAGATATCCAACAACTCTCCTAATAAATACAATTATTCAACAATATTATTCTTGTATAGCTTTGATCTCTTTAGTACAATTGACAATAAAATCAACTTATAATACTAGATATACAAAGATAATTCCCGATTCAGAAAGAAATTATATAAAATAATATGTCAAGTAAATATTATACCTCAACTCTTTACTCTCTAAATGAGTCAACACTTAACAACCCTACAACTCTCTAAATGAGTCAACACTTAACAACATATTAAAGTTATAAATATGGTTACCTCCATCCATTTTCTTTTAAAACTTAGTCTTTTTGTTCACAAACTTCCCATAACCAAAAACCTAAGTTTAATGTGCACGAGACTACACCAATCCCAACTCTTGCAAGTTATTCTCACAATGTAAAAGAGTTTTTATTTTGTTACAATGTAGTGCATACTCACATATTGTATTGTTGTTAAAGCCAATTTAGAGAGTTATAATAGCTTTACATAGTTATGTATAAGTAAATTGATTTTTTTAATGTTTTTTATTTGAAAAAAAAACCTTTTAAGGAAATTATGAAAAAACTCTAAAACATATTTTTAAAATTTAGTATAAATTAAGAAAACTAAAAATGCATGACAGTAATACTTTCTAGTTTATTAAATAAGAATATAATATTATTTAAATATAACCTCTAAAATGTATTTTTTTTTTAATTTTATGTTTATGACTCGGGTTTTTTAAGGGAAAAAAAAAGTATTACTGTCATGCATTTTTATTAATTACTACTGCTAAACCACAACTGATGCAAAAAGGCAATTTAAAATCCGTCGAGTAAAATCGATTTTCCTGCCTCCATCAATTTTCCTGCCTCCATCAATTTTCCTGCTTCAGCGAATTTCCTGCCTCCATCAATTTTCCTGCTTCAACGCCCTTGTTTAACCTGTCAATAGTAAAACTCACTCTGGAAGTATCAATTTTTCTGGTAGGAACGCCCATGCTTACACACGCTTGGCCGATGATTCCAAGAGCGGCTTCTAAGATTTGGATAAGTACATCAGTACCCCTGACACTTACAACAAATTACCCCCACTGACTTTAACTTTTTTTACACGTGCAAGGTCAAGTCTGACAAGCAATTAATGTTGTGGCAGTGCTAGATATTTTGCTATTAATGGGATGTAGGAGGTAAAGAATCGGCCCTAAAATGGAGTTCCCATTCCTTCTATGGTAGATTTCCCTTTCCTTTCTTGCTTGGTCAAAAGGTTTATCTTCTTCTGCTGATATCCGATTCGTCATGAGAATTAGGGCTTGGAATCTCAGAAGATAGATTGTGTTTTGTTGAGATTTGGGAAGAAAAAAGGGGTAAATGTAAACCGTTTGTATTATTTAGGTAATATACGATTATTATCCTAAAATAGATAAGATATAAACAGATTGTGATCACAATATAGATAAGATTTAAACAGAAAAGGATAAAATTATATTTGATGGTGGTTGTATAAGATAGAGTATGATATATTTATCATGTTTGGTTGATGATAAATAAAAAAATAAAAAATAAAAATATTAATTTTACCTTTAATATAATAATCTTACGGTAAAACTTATATATTTTAAAAAATAATTAGATAATTTTTTTTATTTTAATTTTTATTAAGTGTTGAAATTAATAATAATATAATAGTCGTAGTTATATGACTCGGACTGACCCGACTCAGCAGGTCAACCTTAGACTTGAACTAGTTTAAGTTCAAGAAAAATAGATAAAGGATTAACCTAGCCTAATTCAATAAAAAACCTAGGTTGATCTACGATCCAGTCGACTCGTGGTAAAACCTGTTTAAAAATCCATTGACTTTTTATGAAGTTTTTATTTTTTGTCAAAACAACTTAGTTTTGATCATTTTGTAAAAAACAAAAATAGAATTAACTTGGGTTAACTTCGCAACTTAGACCTTACCCTATATCAACCATTAGATTGAGTTTTAAAACTATGATAATAACCACTTTTATTATTATATATCTTAATTAAGCAATTTTGAAACTAAAAGTTTTTTAAAATGATATTTTAAGAATAAAAAAATAATAAATATTGTCTCTAAAAACATGTACTCTGTGTACCTTCTATTTTGAAAGTATAAAAATTCAATTCAAAATTATTTCAGAAAATTTATTTTTATATTTTTATCTATCTCTTTAACTAAATATATTTTTGTTTTCAATGTTTACATTATTTTTTTCTTGAAATAGTAATAAAACATTGGACAATTTATTAGATGAATAAAATGGACTTAATTGAGTTAATTCCCTTTCCAAATACAAAAATGAACTTTTTTTTAATATAAACAAAAAAATATCATGTTTCTTTTTTGTAGTGCAGTTTTACTAAGTTTATGAGAACTAAGTTAATAATAATTAAAAAAACCATAGGATCTGAAAATTTATATAAAAAAATTCATAGTTATAATCTCAACATTTATGATAACTTTATTTCTCATTATTATACCTCAAATTTAAACACCACAAATTAATAAGCAAAACATAAGTACAATCCTAATTTATCAAGTCAAGTACTATAAATTAGAGTTTGTTTGGTACATATTATATTGTGATATGTTACTGTATATTTAGATTTTTGGATATGATATACTTGTTGTAACCAACGCTAAATGGCTGGTTGACCTCCTGAAAGGTATTGAGAAAGAAAATGGTAATCTATAGTTCGATATTATACAAAATTATTGGGAAAAACATGCGAGGAATCCATAAATACCCTTTAAAAATTTTAAAGCTTTTTTTTAATATTATTATATTATTAAATTTATTGGATTGAGCTGAGCTAGTCCGGACCAATAACAGCCCAACAAACTTGCTCCTTTTTTTATAAGATGGGCTGGCCCAGCCATCCAGACCAAACTTAGTTAGGTTAGGTTGGGCCGACAACAACCCAATAGGCTTGACTATTTTTTTTATATGCTGGGTTGGCCCAACCATCTAGGCAAGACCCAACCAGGTTAGGTTGGATCAACAACAACCCAATAGACTTAACCCTTTTTATATATGCTAACTTGGCCCAGCCATCTAGGTTGAGCCAAAATAGGTCCAGCCTAGCTTATGAGTTAATTAATTTGTCTCATATATGGAGGAACAATTCTCATTCTCCATGTATAAATAATGCTAGCAAGGAAAAGAAAATGAAAAGAAAAAGAGAAAAGGGGATTACTTAGTGTGGAAGAGGAGGTTGGTTGGTCCTGTTGTCGACTGGTGGAAAAACTATGGGTGGAGACGCTGGTGATTAGTGATAGAGCTAGTTGCTTGAAGAAAGTTTATGGCGAAGAGGAAGGAGTTTGTAGTGGCCACTCTTGATATAAGGGTGGACAATTGGTGGTCATGTTGATGTCTCATGGTGATGTTGAGATTGTAGTGGCTAAGGATGCAATAAAGAAGAAAGGGAAGTGGTTGAGATCATAGCACATATACACAAAGAGGGAGAGAGAGTAAAATTATAAAAACAAACAA